TGCTAATACCATCAGTCGACAATACTGCAACCGATGATGGTGACAGCAGCAATGGACTTGCAAAAGACTGTCCAACTCTGCTTTGCTTTGATGCCACACTGGAGACTAAAACTGCTGATGACGATCTCTTGCTCTCTCTGCTAACAACAAAAGTCGACAAGGACGCAACTGACGATGGTGATACTGGCAGCGAGCTTTCTAAAGATGCTCTCAGTGTGCTTTGTTCTGATATCACACCGGACTCTATTGTTACTAACAGAGAGCTGCTGTTTTCTCTGCTACTACCCACAGTGGACGATGGCACAAGCAATGAAGGTGACACGAACTCTGATCTCTCTGAAGACAGTTTGACTGTATTGTGCTCTGATGGCAGACTGGATAGACTGGAAGCTACTATTGAAGATGACGATCTCTGCCTTTTTCTGTTCACACTCAAAGTAGGCGAAAATGCTAGCGATGAAGGTGATACCAACACTGACCTTTCTGATGACACCTCAACTGTCCTTTGCTTTGAAGTCTTATTGGATACCACTATGGAGGATGGGGATACACTGATTGCACTGCTCACATCGAAAGTCGACGATTTCACGACCGAGGATGGCGCTTCCATCAATGACCTCTCTGAAGACGCCTTCACTGTACTCTCAGCCGATGCGAAACTGGACACTGTTAGTGGTGTTACAGACATTGTACTTTTCTTGACTAGAAAGGTTTGTTTACTCATAGTTTCCTGCGTTGATTTCTAAAGTGAAAAGTAATTGTAAGATTAATGTATTTTACTCTAAGGAGTGTTTGGATAAACTTAAATATGGTAGAATTCTTGACAAAGATATATAAATTTATCAGTAAAAGTTATCAATAGTTTTATTTACAAAGAATTTAGATGGAAGTGATGCTGTAAAATTAAAAATTTTCGATAAAGTCAGGCTACTTATGTTATTTTATGGAATGAATAACGAAAAATAGGATCTGCATTTCATAGAACAGCCAAAATATACAATGACTACAACATAAGAGAACTATAAAAAAGTGCAACTATGGCTTTCATGGAGCTACCAAATAAGCATCTCCTTCTGACTTGAACAATAAGAATATTTGTTTACAGGTTTCTCTGGTTAGCCAAATTCTTATGCAGAATGATTTTGAAATATATAATGTCCCTGAATTTTACTACCTCTAGTTGAGTAAAGTCCTAACGAGTGGGCTAGGACTAAGAGTAATCTATTCTTCGTTGTTTTTGTTTTTTTTTTTTTTGCTGATGTGTCCATTCTTTACCAGGGGAGAGTTTAAGCTCACAAGTGCAACAATCAATTAAAAGTTTCTACATCCCCCTCTTGGGTGGCCGAAGCAACCCCCTTGGACAAATGAACTGTTGAAGACCAGTTTTATAAATTCCCACCTCAGAGGTAAAAAGATTATCCTCAAATGAACCATCCAATATTTTTTTAAAAGTCAAAATCAGCAACCAAACCTTTCTACTCATTGGCCAAGCTTTAAAACCTAGCCCTTGAGGACCTTCTCTTCTGAGCCATTTTCTTAAGAAAGTGAACATTTCCACATTGAAAGATATAACACTTGTATTCCATGGGAAAGACTTGACACATCCAATTCAAATTTCCCACACCAGCTAGGCAGGGTTCTAATTCCCCACCCTCAGGGCAAGCACAACAGTCAAATACCTGAAAATTGCCTGCGGTGGGGGGGGGGGGATGTTGAACTTTGAGTGATTGGAGCATTATGATACCAATTCATAAGGTTGAGTGTACTGTTTCTCTACTAGCGATAAAAATACTGTTTGTCTCTTTATTAAGTTTTGATTCCAAAAAAAAATCAATAGAACTAGTTCCACTATTACTTACCAGCTTCAAGGTTCTCAAATTGGTTTTTTTTATTTTCAAACAACAAATCTGGGATGAATCATAGCTTCTAAATACATTTACTTCTTAACCTGCTAAATTAGTCAAAAACAAAATGTACTCATTTTTCTCAAAATCGAGGACACTATGATAACTCTTGAACCTCTGAAAATAACAGCCTTGTTTTCTAATTGATGTGTCAATTTCTGAACCCTGTTTCATGATCTCCATTGCATATCACTGAATTGTGATATGCATATCTTTCTAAATCCAAAAATAAAAATCTATGTATTCAGTTCAGAGCCACCTCAGTATTTTGGTGATAAAAGGTTTTTCTTAACTGCATAGAGTTTTCTTTGATGCAGCAGATAGATGACTGCAATCCATTGTGAAAGAATGGGGATCACCAAACTTGTTTTGGAATTAAGCTTAAAATAAAGGGTGTTTATTAGAGGCAGTAGTGTTATTATAGCAAAGCTTACAAGTAT